CAGGTATAATTCCTTCTCCCTGGGAGGCAGCCTGGTGGAAGTCCACTTTGTAGGTAGAGGCTGGAGGCTCCCTCTAGGGGGGAGGGGATCCTTTCCCCTCTGCATCCCCTGCAGTCTCCAGCACATGTCATCTGAGAGGGCGGGCAATGATCACGGCCCAGGGCTGGACTTGGACAGTCTTCATTTAATTTTCATGACACCCTGCGTGATAAGTCTTGTTGCCATTTATGGATGAGGAAACTGAGGCCCAAGCACCAAGTGTATTGCCCAAGATCTTACAGCTCTCAGTGGCAGAGCTGGGATATGGGAAGGGCTGCCTAACAGTGTCTTTCTGCCCCTGTGACACCTTTCCCAGGGGTTTTCTGGCCTCTTGTCATTTCGTTGTCACCGGGAAGCAAGGGGAGGGGCTTTGCAAAAGATGGTCAGACTGAGGGGCCTGCCCGGTGGCCTAGTGGTTAAGTTTGCATGCTCTGCCTCAGTGGCCTGGGGTTCCCCAGTTTGGATCCTGGGCGTGGACCTGCACACTGCTCGTCAAGCTATGCTGAGGTAGCGTCCCACATACAGCAACTAGAAGGATATACAACTATGACATAGAACTATCTACTGGGGCTTTGGGGAGAAAAAAGGCAAAAAAAGAAGGAAGATTGGCAACAGATGTTAGCTCAGGGCCAATCTTCCTCAAAAAAAAAAATTACATTAAAAAAAAAAGGATGGTCAGACTGAGAACTTGAATCCACCGGGTTGCCCACTGTGGTTCCTATGGATTCCTGAGATGGGGTGATGCCTTGATTTAACCCTGCTGGGGTGGGGCAGAGAGCTGTCTTCTAAACTGGGTGGGACAGGTGGCATCTGTGTCCCTGACTGCCCTATCTGTCTTTGCAGAAGGAGCCCAGCGAAGTGCCAACACCTAAGAGACCTCGGGGCCGACCAAAGGGGAGCAAAAACAAGGGCGCTGCCAAGACCCGGGTGAGGCTTGAGGTGGGGCCGCTCCTGGTGAACGAGAGGGAGGTGGACCCTCCACATGGCTACAGCATGGGCAGGTCTGAGAAGGGGCTGGCTCATCCTGCTGCACCCCGCTCCCTGCCACACTGGTGGTGATGGGTCTTTGCTAATTGGGGAAAGCAGGGTGATGACTGAGGCCTCACTTCTGGGGCCTTCGTCCTGCCCAGGACAATGGGGATATCAAGTCAGAAGTCTTGCAGCTTTCCTGATCTGGAGAAAGGCGAGTTAGGAAGAGTGAAGGGGCAGCTCCACCAGCCTCTGGGCTAAGAATGTTCTATCTCGGGGTCCGCTGGATCCTGAGAGAGTGGGGATAAGCAGGGAGGGCCAGATTCACAGTGGCATCAGCCTTTCAGAGAAGTTGTTTTGTTTTTTATTTTATTTTTTTCTAAGATACGACTCATATCCTCTGAGTCATGGGTGGAGGAGGGAGTGGGGGGCGTGTGTATGTTGGGGGGAGCGCAGTGTGGCTGGCCAGTCATCACCAGCTGGACTCGGGTGGGCCTGCTGGGTGAGAGTCCTGGGCTGCCCTGAGCGGAGGTAGGTAGTTCTGCCCTTCCCTGGTCTCCTCGCCATCCAGGGCACTGGTTGCTGGGACATGTTGAGCACTGTGAGGGACATTTTTGACTTAGTGGATCTTTTCTCTGACCATCTAGAAAACCACCACAACTCCAGGGAGGAAACCAAGGGGCAGACCCAAAAAACTGGTAGGTTGAAGGGGGCGGTGGCGGCTTGGCTCTCCTGGGGAGGGTGTTAAGAATGGGTGATGCCAGATCCCACGGGCCCGCCATGGAAAGACTGCTCTCCCTGACCTGCCGGGCCAGGAATGGCGCACATCGCATTTTACCCAGGCCAGGAAGGGCTCCTGGCACCCAGCCCCGGGCTTTTAAAGGGCTGTGTCCCTGAGAAGTAAGGGGTCCCAGGTACAAACCAGACCAGACCCCCTGCCCTGCGCTAGTGTGTGTGTGTGTGTGTGTGTGTGGAGGGTCCCTACCTCAGACCCCCTGCCCTGCGCTAGTGTGTGTGTGTGTGTGTGTGTGTGTGTGTGGAGGGTCCCTACCTCTCCTTCCTCTGTTTCTAGAACAGACTCAACTTCTGGGGGGAACCTGGAGGTCGTCTAGTCTGCCCCCATTATAGAAATGAGAGGAGGCCACATGGGGAAGGGGTGAGGTTTGTCCTGACCATGATGCTGGGGAGGAGGAAGCAGCAGCAAAGGGGCTCAGCCCTGAGGGTCAGCGCCCAGTGGGAGTTGAGGTGCCCTCCCGAGTGGGGGCCCCGCCCCACAGGGAGGCACCACCATTTCTGGGCCCAAATAGCTGGTAGTGGAAGTAGGTGGGCTGAGTCAGGAGACGGCCTCTAGGGGGTGCACACTGCAGTTGGGGCTCCCTGAACTCCCTGAGGGGTTCATTCCTCGAGCTGAGCCACCAGAGGGGTGAGGGGGGTTAGGGGGTGCTGGCTGGGCCCCAGGAGTGAGTAACAGGAAACAAGTTGTTTTGGAGTTTGTGCCTGGCACGGGGGCCGCAGGCCCGTGTGGTGTCCCGACATTCCCGCCCAGTGAGTGAGCCCCGGCGGCACACACTTCCCCTTCCTCCCCACCCTGGCCTGGGGTCAGCCCGCGGCCGTGGCCGCACCACAGCCCAAGAGCTGCCCCTGCGGGCAAGGCCACTTGGTTCCCCTGCAGCCACCAGGCAGGGCTCATGCACCCTCCAGCCACCCTTCCCTTCCCATTTCCTCTCCTGGCCTCCTCCTCCCCTCCCGGGAGAGCCAGTCACCTCCTCACTTCCTCGAGCTCAGGGCTGCACCGAGTTCTGCCTGTTCCCCCCACCATGGGACCAGGGGCCAAGGGGGCCTGGCTCCGTGTGAGAGCAGCATGTGTGTGGTTTTTTTCCCTCCCTTTAAATTCTTCCTTTTTTATGAATGAAACTGGGCCGTGGAGGTTGCTGAGTCACCCACACACTCAGCCCTGACTCATCCCCCTTCTGGAGAGCCAGGGAGTGCAGGGAGGGGTGGGGGCGAGCCTGGCCTGTGCCCCCTCCCCCTGACTCTGGGTGGAGGAGGAGGGAGGCCGGCCTGGCACTCCTGCTGATGGCCCTGCCCACCTCTCAGGAGAAAGAGGAAGAAGAGGGCATCTCGCAGGAGTCCTCAGAGGAAGAGCAGTGACCGCGCCGTGCCGCCTGCTCCCTCACCGAGGAGCAGTTTCCTTCTGGGACTGGACAGCTCCGCTCCGTTCCCACTGCCCCTGCCCCTTTCCCCAGGCCCACGCATCACCACCCACCTGCGCCCTCACCACCACACTACACAGCACACCAGCCGCTGCGGGGCCCCCGTGGCCCGAGTGGGGAGCAGTTTTCCTCTGGTCTCAGTTCCCAGCGACCCGTCACCCACGCGCACACACTTGCCCTCCTGGACAAAGCTGACTTCCCACTTAGCTGCACCCTGCACCTGCTGTGTCCCCACTCCCTCAGCCATGGGGACATTGCCGATTCAGCTTTTGGTTTGGGGGGGGTCCCTTCTGCTCCCCCACTCTTCCCTCTGGCTTCCCATTAAGGGGCCTGGGAGGGCTCCCCTGGCCTTAAAAGGGGCCCAAGCCCCATCTCATTCTGACATGCCCCACTCCACTGTACTGGCAGCAGCAGGTGTGGCCTATGGAGAGGGGTGCTTGGCCCCAACATGTCCCCAACCAACCTGTGTCTCACCAAGGGCAGCTCACACCCACTTTTCTTCCTTCCCTATCTTGCCTAGTGCCTGCACTAGGTTGGACAGCCCCCTTTAGGGCACAGGAAGGCAGGAAGGAAGGCAGGAGGGGTTTGAGCCCCCTATCCCCTCTAAACGGGCTCCAGCCCACCTTGCCCTCACCCTGGAGTCTATTGCAGTGATGGAAATGGAGTCCCCTATTCAGGTGAGGTCCAAGCAGCCCAGGTCCCCTGTGGCAGCCACCTAAGGTGGGCTGGAGCCACTCCCAACCCTATCTGCTTCCACTCTAGGCCTCAGTTTCCCCTTTCCTCACATGGGGCGCTAATAACAAGGAGCTAGCCTTGCCCACTCCCACCCTTCTGCTCCTCCCCACCCCCCAAGGTTCTGGTTCCATCTTTCCTCTGTTCACAAACTACCTCTGGACAGTTGTGTTGTTTTTTGTTCAATGTTTTATCTTAGACATCCGTCATTGCTGCTGCTACCAGCGCCAAATGTTCATCCTCATTGCCTCCTCCTGTTCTGCCCACATTCCCCTCCTCCAAGATGCTCTGAGGGGAAGGGGCCTGGGCAAAGCAGGCTGGGTTACGACTACCCTAGTCCCAGGGAAGGTGGGGCCCTGCCCCTAGGATGCTGTGGCAGCGTGCTGACTGTGAGGGTGTGGGGGCCACCTCCCCCCTGCTCTGTCAGGGAGGAGGCAGCCATCATCTGTCCCAGCCTGGGGCCCCCCTCTGGTTTCCTATTTGCAGTTACTTGAATAAAAAAATATCCTTTTCTGGACTGGAGTCTTTTCTGTGGTGGGTGCCTGGGGTAGGTAAGGGTGGGAACCAGGGATCTAGTGGTTGGGGGGTGGCTCTGGAGGTGCTGTGCCCAGCTCTTCCTTCAGGCTGGGGTGGGGAAGGAGAAAGCACTGGAATCCGCTCCAGGGAAGGCAACTTCAGCCCCTCTAGAGATCAGCTACACCCCTAGCCACAAAACATTTTATTTACAAAATATATATACGGAATACTATACATCAGGCCCTGTCATCATGGAAACAACGCCAAAGCCAAATTGGGGAGGGCTAGAGAAAGGTGCCCATGGAGAGGGCAGAGCTGTTTCCCAGCCACCCTTCCACCCCAAAAGGAAAAAGTTCCCATTAGCGCCTTGGAGCGGGTGGTAGGCTCAGCCCACAAAGGACTGAAGGCCTAGCGGGGAGTGAGGTGATGGTGGGGGCAGGCTGCTATGCAGGGGCTTAGGAAATGGGTGCTGCTGGGGAAGGACTGGAGACCCAGTACCCAGCAGGGGGAGCTGGGTGAGTGCAAGTGGGAGGGGAGGCAGCAGACCACAGGGCTCTGGACACTCCAAGACCCCACGGTTCTGAAGGTCAGGTCATGTCTTGACATCCAGCAAGGGCATCCGCTTGTGCTGGTAGCCACTCTGCCAGCCATGTACCACCTGTAGGGGAGGAGATCATGCCACAGGGCTGGGCTCTGGCCCCTGGGAGTCCACAGCACAGCCTTGGAGGAGGCAGCCCACTAGCCATGGCCCAGATGGGGAGGGCTAGGGCCTCCTAGAACCAGGCTCTGGTTCCAGGGATGAGGATGGGTGAGAACAGAGCAGACCCACCTCTGCTGATTCTCCCTGCCCCTGGTGTGCTCACCTTGGGGTCTCCCACGTCAGAGAGGAGCTCCTGCTCAGCCTCATGCAGTTCCTCAGCAGGGTCATAGCTGTACATGGGGAGGAGGTGATGGCGAAGCCGGTCCACCCTGGGAAGCAGGGGAGAGGGCTCAGCCCGGGGTGGCCCACTCCCTTCTTCAAACACCTGACTGCCCTGTCTCCATCCCCCCAGGCAAAGGCACGTCCAGTGGGTGCCTCTTGAGACACCACAGGGCTCTAAGACTACATGCCCCATTTTCCAAGGGGCCTCTCCCCAGTGGGTAAGCCGAGTCTGGGCAGGAACACCTAACTGGGGTTTAGGGAATTTCAGGCTTGTATCAGGACGGCTGAGGGGCATCTTACATGTATGCAAAGGACTCGGATCCTATGGGAAGAAATCTAAGCATGATACAGGGGCGGTAGCAGTGGGGGCAGAGACACTCACCGCTTTTTCTTCTGGACATACATTACCTGTAATAGAGAGACAGCACTGTGGAGGCTGCTGAGCCCAGGATGGCCCACAAGCGAGAGGGACCCACCTCCACACCCTCTACTCCTGTTAATAGCAGGACAGCTGAGATACTGTGTGCAGGCTGCACCAGGCCCACCCAGCCCCGCCTTAGCAAAGGTGTGGGTGTATGTGTGTGTAATGTGGGGGCTCCTTACCACAGCCACCACCACCCCGACCAAGGTGATGAGGAAGAAAGGCCCCAGCACATAGCCCACCATGGAGTCGCTGTTGGCCTGGGGGGCATTGGGCACTGTGGTGTTACTCATGACATCGGCAGCCGGAGGGCTGGGTAGTCAGCATGGGCAGTGGTGCCTCGGGAGGGCGCCTCCACTGGGCTCCCTGGGGAGGAGGAAGGGTGGTTATCAATTTCACCTAGGGTGGTGTCCAGGCTCCATGCCTCCCCAAGAGCTGGCAATACATAAAAACTTAGGTCAGGCACTGGGACAAGGGGTCCTCCAGGTCAACCCTTGCTGGGTTTAACCCTCCAATGACTCTCAGCAAATCCTGGGTGTAAAGGGCACCAAGGGGTGGCCCAGACCCAAGGCCTGAGTCCTGCCCAGCTCCTATCCCCAAATCAGGGTGGAGCCTAGCTCAGGTGCTGGCCAAACATTTGCAGATCTCAGCTCCTGGGGAAAGGTTAGATACGGGTTCCCAGCTCCTGACCCGACCTCCTGGAGCGCTGGGCTGCCAGCACCTATCCAGTGGAGCAAAATGGGCAGATAAGGTGAAAATACAAGGGTCCTGCACTGTGGCCTAGGGAGAGCCTAGGAGCACTTGAAGGAGTCCACCTCAGTCTGGTCCAATCTCCACACTTCAGGCTATAGGCCCTGTGCCCTCCTTGTCCCTGGTGTCACCCCAGACATACAGACTAGACACTCTCTACCCTATCGGTCTCATGTGCCAGGGTGGGCAGGGCTGGATTGTATCTGCGAGGTGATGTCACCTCCTTCTGGTCCCCACCCGGGGCTCCGCCCAGGTCCCTCCCCTCCTGGTCTGCGCTGACAGGCGGAGGTGGAGAGGGTCAGCTCCCATCGACAGAAGCAAGGAGACTGTCCGTGGGCGGCTGCACGCAGATGCCCCAAGGTCCCTGACTCCGGTTCGCCTGGGTTTCCATCGGAGGGCAAGGTATGAGCTACCTGTCCCGATGTCCGTGGGGGCACCAGGCTTGCCCAGTCGCATGCACACTGTCCCATGGTCGACGGGACATGACGAGGTGGGGAGGGTGTCAGGCCGCTCCTAGGATGCGGACCAGCAAAGGCAAGCGGGAGGTGGTTCCTGAGCGCTGGGAGGCTCAAGCCGAGGGAGGGGTATTTGTGGGGAGCGCACAGGGGCCTAGGCATCCTGGAATCCCGGCACCCCGAGGCGTGGACCCGTGCCGCCGCTCTGCAGCCCATCCAACCCGGCCATGCCTTACCTCCCGCCGCCGCAGCCCGGACAGTAACGCCCTCGGTTGGCTCCCGGGCCCCGGAAGAGCCGGCAGGCGCGTGATCAAAGGACCCGGGGAAATGGGCGGGGCTTCAGCGCAGGGGTGCAACCAATCCGGTGGCGGAAGGCGGACGGCCCGGAGACTTCTGGAGCGGCCAATCCGGAGGCGGGGGACGGGCGGTGCGAAGGCGGGGACGGCCCGGGTTGCAGGGTCCACCCCACGGCGGCAGGGGGCAGCCGAGGGCTGCGCAGCGGGGGGAGGAGCGCGCAGGGAGGGGTGGGGCGCGCGCGGTTTCCCGGCGTCCCCCGGGGCGGACCCCCGCCGAGCGCCGCGCTGGGAGCTCGGATTCCAGCGAGAGGTTCGGCGTCCGCCTGTCTCAGCCGTCAGGTTGGAGCACCCGTGTAGGGCCAAGCCACGCTCTAACGTTTAGCCGGGCGTGCGACGACTGGCTGCGCGTCGCTTCACCGCAGGACCCTGCCTGGGACCCTCAAGGCCTGCGTTAGTGTTTGTGGCGCCTCCAAGCCTCCCAGCGCACGGCCTGGCCCTCTGGCCTCAGAGGGCAGAGTGGGCAGGCCTGGGTTAGCTCCTGCCCAGCCACTGGACCTGGGGCCACCCGCCCGCCCTCTCTGCGCCTCTGTAAAACAGGCCGCTGTGAGGATTAAACCATGACGTGGGTAAGGAGCCTAGCACATTGCATGCCCTGAATGTTCAATTCCCCGTTAACCTCTTTCCGGTTTTCCGGGGCACTGATGGAGCAGTGAGGTGAAGTCCCCCTGGGTCACAGGTAACTTGCTAAGTAGGTAAGCTTGGGTCGAAACTTTCGTGGATTGATAATTAAAATGTCACACAACTGGAGAAATCTGAATAAGAATGGTGGATTTTACCAATGTCAGTATCCTGGTTATGATATTTTACTATAGTTTCGCAGAAGTTAGCATTGGGGGAAGTTAGGCAAAGTCTGTAAGGGATCTCTAGTCTTATAACTGCATGTGAATCTACAGTTACCTCAAATATGTGTGTGTGTACATACATGTGCATAGTTTTGAACCACACCCTCCTCTACCCCCCCAAATCACACACAATTGGGAAAACTCCAGTCTGGCCGTTGATGGAAGCCAGTGAAGAACATAAAGTTTGTGGCAGCTGAACCAGACAGAGGCCCTCCTGGGTCTTCAGATGCTTCTGGAGATACAGGGATGGCCTGGGTCACCCTGTTCTTGCCAGAGGCAGCCAATGGCATGGACCTGGTTGAGCCACTTGGTCTGGTCTGGCCTCAGTTTCCTCAGGCCCGTCCAGAGAAGGCTGGATGAGGGCAGAGGTGCAGAGATGACCCAACTGGGAAGCAGTGGGCAGGTGGGAACTCTGCCCTCTTGCCTCTAGACACCACCATCTGACTGTGGTGGGGAATCAGTGATAAAGGGAAAGGAATGAGAGAAACACCTGAGTCTGGAGGCTCCAAGGTAGATTTCCTGGTGTTCTAAGGCTTTTAAGTCTGGAGAGTAGGGAGACCACCCATCCCAGGCTTCTGTCAGAGCTGAGGGCAGAGGGAGGAGGCCATCTCTCCTGGCAGGGCGTGCCTCCCCTTGCAAGGAAGTGGGGATGAAGGATAGCTTTTAGAACCCAGGCTTCCTTGGCCGCCCACACACACACACTTTGCCCCTATCCTCAGGGTTTCTGACCATATATCTTGAGGGCCCTCTAGGAGCAGGCCTAGTGGTCACATTGGCTAGGCCGGTGTATGGAAAGGGCTGAGGACTCAGTGTCAGAGACTCAGCATGTTTTTACTTCCTTTACTCCTAGGACAGAACACCATTCTGAGCTAGGCAGGGCAGGTAGGGTGACGCCAATTTACAAATGAGCAAGTTGAGGCCCTGAGCAGTGTGATGACTTCCCAAGGCCCTTGGTGTGATCAGGAAGGGTAAGGCAGAATGGGATGACAGCTCTCTTCCTGGACAGCTCTGTGCTGGCAGCTACTTCAGGGTTGCATTTGAGGCCTGGTTTGTTCCTATGACGAGGCCTCAGATCCCATGAGGAGGGTACCCCCAGGCCCAGCCGGGGAACACTCCAGCCCTCCCTGTCCTCTTCATGCAGCTGCCACCTCAGGAAGGGGAGGGATAGGGCAGTGCTGAGGTTGCTCAGTGCCACCCTAATCAAGTTTTGACTCTCTTTATCTACACTGCCATGGTTAGTGCCTGGGCTTATGTATCCACTTCCATTAATGCCTCACTCATCCTTGTGTCCCCCTGCTCCAGACCCACCTAACAGATCATAAAAGAAAGACCTGAAAAGATCAAATTGTTGATGAGTAATGTAAATTCATTCCCGAACAAAGCTCAAGAAGATTTATAGGAATGCAAAAATATCTAGCCCCCAACAAGGTAACATTCATAATGTGTGGCATCCATTAAAAAATGGATCTATAAGAAATGCTCAGGGACGCAAAGAGGCATGAAAACACAATCTTTAATGAGGAGAATATTCAATCAATAGACACTGACCCAAAACTGACACAGATGTTAGACCTAAGGAGGACATTAAAACAGTTATTATAACTGTATTCCATATGCTCAAAAAGTTAAGCAGAGATAAGATATAAAAAAGACCTAAGCTGAATTTCTACAGATGAAAACTACTATAATGTCTGAGATGAAAAATATACTGGATGAGATTAATGGCAGATCAGATATTGCAGAAGAAAAGATAAGTGAATGTGAAGGTGTAGCAATAGAAACTATCCAAAATGAAACACAGAGAGAAAAAAGAATCCAGAAAAATTAAAAAAAAATTAAAAGAGCATCGGTGAGCTGTAGGACAATTTCAAGCAGCCTAATATATGGGTCATTAGAGGCCCAGAAGCACAGGAGAGAAAGAGGGGACAAAAATATTTGAAGAAATAATGGCCAAACACTTTCCAAACTTAATGAAGACTATAAACCCAGAGATCCAGAAAGCACAACAAACCCCAAGCACAAGAAACATGAAGAAAACTATACCAAGGCACATCATAAGCAAATTGCTCAAAATTAGTGATAAAGCGAAAATCTTAAAAAATGTTATGCCCAGAGGAACAAAGTTAAGAATGACATCAGATTTTCACCCAAAACAATCCAAGTGAGAAGACAGTGAAGCAATATTTTTAAAGTATTGAAAGAAAAAAGCTCCCAATCTAGAATATTAGGCAAAAATATCTTTCAAAAACAAAGATGAAATAAAGACAACTTTAGATATACAAAAACTGAAAGAATTCATCACTAGTAGACCTGCACTATAAGATATGTTAAAGGAAGTTCTTCAGACAAAAATAAAATGGTACTAAATAAAAATATAGACCTACCCACAGGAATGAAGAGCTATGGCAATGGTAACTACATGAGTAAACATATAATTTCTTTTCTTATTACTTAAATCTTTTAAAAAGGTAACTGTTAAAAAGAATAAGTATTGTGGTGTTTGTGCACCCAGAACATTTACCAAGATAGACCATATTCTGGGCCATAAAACAAGTTTCAACTTTCAAACAATTCAAGTTAACATATGTAAAAGTAAAATACGTTATATCAGTAGCATAACAGCTGTACAAGAAATGGAAATATATTATTGTAAGGTTCAGATATACATGAAGTTGTATAATATCTCTTAAAGGTGGACTGTGGTAAGTTAAAGATGTATACTATAAACCCTAAAGCAACTAATAAAATAACAGAGTTATAGCTAATAAGCCAACAAAAGAGATAAAATGGAATAAAACATACTCAAGTAATCCAGAAGAAGGCAGAAAAAAGGAAAAGGGGAGCCAAGAACAGATGAGACAACTAAAAAACAAATAGGATGATAAACTGCAACCCAACTATACCGATAATCACATTAAAGGTAAGTGGGCTAAACAACCCAATTAAAAGGCAGAGATTGTCAGAATGGATAAAAAGGCAAGACCCACAACAAGTGTACTTTGAATATACAGGCTCAATTAGGGTAAAAGCAAAAAGATGGAAAAAGATACACCATGCTTGTGCTAGCCAAAAGAAAACTGGGAGGGCTATAATAACATCAGACAAAGCTGATTTCAGAGCAGAGAATATTACCAGGGATAAAGAAGGTCAGTTCATAATGACAAAGGGGTTAATTAATTGAGGACATAACAATCCTAAATGTTCTTGTGCCCAAAAAGAGAGCTTCAAATATATGGAACAAACACTGATAGAACTGTATGGAAAAACAATCACAATTTTAGTCAGAGATTTCAATACTACTCTCTCAGTAACTGATAAAACAAGTAGACAAATAATCAGGCAGGATATAGTAGATTTGAACAACACTATCAACCAACTTGACCTGATTGACATTTATAGACTATCCCACCTAACAATAGCAGAATAAATATTCTCAAGTGCACACAGAACATTTATCAAGACAGATCAGATTCTGGGCCATAAAACAAGTTTCAATAAATTAAAAATAATTCAAGTCATACAAAGTACATTCTCTGATCACAATGGGATTATATTAGAAATCAATAATAGAAAGACCCTTGGAAAATCCCCAAATATTTGGAAACTGAGTAACAACCTCTGGATCAAATAATTAGAAAGTATTTTGAACTGAACAAAAATGAAAATACAACATATCAGAATTTGTGGGACACCTCTAAAACAGAGAAGTTTATAGCACTAAATGCCTATTATAAAAAAACACTCATGTCAATGACCTCAGCTTCCACCTGAAACCAAAATATGCATAAGAAAAGAAAGATCAATGCAGAAATCCATGAAATAGAAAACAGAAAAATAGAGAAAATCAATGAAACCAAAAGTTGATTCTTAAGAAGATCAACAAAATTGATAAACCTCTAGCCAGTCTGATGAGGAAAAAAGAGAGAAGATACAAATCACCAATATCAGGAATGAGGGCAGTAACATCACAACCGATTCTGCAGATAAAAAAAAGAAGAAGAAGGAACTATTAGGAACAACTTTTTGCCAATCCAACAGCTTAGTTGAAATGGAGAATACACGGAAAGACACAAATTACCAAAGTGTACTTAAGAAGAAATAGATAAATTTATAACAATCTAGGCTGAACTGATACCATCTTAGCTTCAATAGCATACATTAAT